ACTATATGAATGTTGAAGATGTAATTGTATTTCATTGAGAAGAAATAAAATTCGTCTTTCAGCTTGATCATTTGGATAATCTTGTTCACCGTAAAGAGTGAGATGTTGAATTAATTCACTTGATTTCACAATTCCAATCCAATTACTTGCTTTATCATTGATATTTTTTGAATGATCATCTAGAAATAAGAAGATTCAAATATTTCTTCTTGTGAATGTGAAATAATTCTTTTATTTGTAAACCTGAATAAGATGAAAATATTGATGCCGCATATTGAAAATCTTGAATAAATAATTTTCTTTGTTCGAAATTAAATCCACGATATGCCCAATCAAAAGCTTGTGCACGAGCCATTGTACTAAAACTAAAACGAAGTTTAATAGCTGAATTATCATAAATGGTATAATTAATTTTATTCATATTTAATAAATTTTGTGTGAAATTAATAAAAGTGATATTATTTGTAATGGCATAAAGTAACGCTGCATCTCTTGCAGGCCAACAATAATTAAATGTATTATTTGGTTTATAGAAATGAATACTTTTAATAAGTTGATTAAAAATATCTTTTGCATGTTTTGTTTCATTTATTTTCTTTCGAATAAATTCAAGATGTGTTGATGTTAAACTTATTCGTGGTCGTGTTAAATTAGCAAGTTGAACAGTAGCGATATCATTTTTATCATCAGATACCAAAAGAAATGGACCTTGATATGATAATGAAATAATTGTTTTGATATTATCTGTTGAATAATTCCCTATGAGTTGTTTCTTATTAATCTTTGATATAGAATCAATTCCATTATAAATAAGAATAAATTTAGCTAAACTTGTTGATTTAAGTTTCCAAGAAAGATGAATTCCATTTGATCTTGGAAAAGCAATAAATAAAGTAATATTATTATATTCTCTTTTTGAATCCACTTCACCTATTTTAAGAATTGTTTTATTGAGAATTGTTTGATTTAAATCATAACCAATGACTTGATAAGTATAAATTGTATTTAATTCAATGAAATGATCTGTAAACATTGATTCATAAATATTATTTCCATATGCAAACATTGTTGGAATAGTTATTAATAGAAAAATCGTATAATTAAGTTTAGATAAGATTCCATTACCTCGATAAATATTATAATAATGAATATTTTTCTTATTGGTGAAATTCCATTGAAGAAAAATAGTTCCATCTTGTTTTGGATAAATAAGAAATGTTGGATTTGTGAAAGAATGAATTTGTTCAATGGAAATATTTGTAAATAAAACATTTCCTAAACAATTAAACATTCTGATTATGAATTTAGCTGAGATTGCATTAGTCGAAAGAGATTTTTTTATTTGAATTGAAGTCCATGTGAGATTAGTTGAAAGAGATTTTAAATATTCATTAGAAATTTTCTTATTTAATTTATCATAAAATTCTAATCGAATACTTCCAGAACTAAAAATAATCCATGTTTTATACCAAAATGATATGAGAAGAAGAGTTTTATTTGTATTTTGTTCTAATTGAATTGTTTGAGTCAATGTAACTAAGATTTGATTTGTATAAACTGAGATTTGTAAAACATTAAATGATAAATATTTTTTAGGTAAGATTTTAATGGAATTATTTCCTTGTCCAAGATGAATATTCCAATTAGTTGGTTGTCCATTTAGATCTAATTGACTAAAATCTCCATTACGAAGAAGATTATTTGTTGTTGATGTATTTGTTATAAGAACGAATATTAGAATTATATTTTGAAAATATTTATTTATTTCAATCATTGTTTTTTAACTAATTAAGAACTATAGTAGAAAAGAAGAGAGAAATATAATACTGATAGACAATGTCTTCTTCTTCTTTTTCTTCTCTTTTCAAAAAACAAAATGAAAAATGTGATACTTTTTCTTCTATTTAATGATAAAATGAATTCTGTTGATGTGAATCAATATGTTGTTTTGTTTGAATGGAAAAATAAGAATTATAAAAT